GTTTTAACGCTGACAAATGTAAAGTTATCCACCTTGGCAAGAATAATGAACAGCAAGATTACAGTATGAGAAGACACGGTTGCAACGACAGAGTGATGATGTCGAAGTCGACAACGGAAAAGGATTTAGGAGTTAATATCGACAATGAGTTGAAATCCGGATTCAAACAAGCCCACAATCAAACCGCATGGCATCATAACAGCCCCAGATCAAACAGCCCTGCCTCATATCAGCTCACAACCAAATCGTTTGACATCAAATCAGCCCAAGATCGATTGCCCGAGGATCGAACAGGACAGCAAGAACAGTTGCACGGGCGAAACAGAGCGCTGGGTACTATGCATGATGGATGTATACCTGTACCTAAAATTTTTTTTGTTTGCATGATAAAAAGTCTACACATGTCTGGAAACACACACACTGTATCAAGTTAAGTAATCTCAACATGTTTTGAGCTGCTAGGAACGAATTTTGATTCAGTAGTGGGTTTCCCCAGAAACATTTTGTGATACTATCGTTTAATTCACAACATGTTTTAATGCTTGTTCAAGTTACTATCGCTTATTTTACGAACTAGCGCACATTTGACTTAAATGTATGGAGCATCAGAGACCATTAACAAGCTTTAATAGAAGTCGCTCTCAGGTGAAGTCGGCTCATCTTTAACTTCTGTCTTAATCTCCATCTTAACTTTGACATCAGCGCCCTCAGGCGACGAGAGCTCCTTCTTGACGTCCATATCCATAGGTTCTTGCTTGATGAAGTTCATGACTTCGTTTTTGTCATCAGGAAGAGTAGCTGATCCACAAGTGGCAGCAAGGACAGACGAAGAGCTTGTCATTGTGGAGGTACATGGCGAGGAAGACTGGAGGCTCAGGTTATTGCTGAGCACCCCCAGCATTCATGGGCTTCACCAAGGCAGAACCCATGGGTGTCGCACACTGTTGTTGTTGGGATACGCTAGGGTGGCCCAATGTGGTTAGGCCTGTTGACGCAGGGAAAGGCCCTCCTGCGTGTGGCCCCACAGCAGCGGAGTTCACAGAACCGATCATGGACTGGGACGAGGGATCAAGCTGCGGAAAATTATGAGCTTTTTAAGCATTTTTCGGGCAGCAAGGCGACTGAATTCAGGTAGCATTAATAACTGGGAATTGACAATATTTGGGTGTAAGAACATGACAAGTTTCATTTAGAGTAAATTTAGGCTGTTTCTAAGCTTTAGCAAGGATATCTGAAGCAAAATAATATACATAATTTTAAAAAATTACGCCAGCTTGAAAACAAAGAAATATAAACGTTGCCAAACAGCTAGACTATGACAAATATAAAAAAACAAGTAGCCTGACTTACCCTAGAGCTTGCAGGATTGAAAAAGTCGTTCTCAACATTTCCGGGTAAGTTGACCAGATTCTGCATCCTTGGGTCCTGCATAGTGATGGGCTCCGGGCTCGGGAGAATGGCTTGCTCGCTGCAACAAACAATAGCTTATTCTATATATACCATGCAAACATTTGGCCATATTGATCGTGTCAACAGAGGGAGCGTCATATGGCCATGTTAGTCTCACCATGTCAACAGAGGGAGCGTCATATGGCCATGTTAGTCTCATCATGTCAACAGAGGGAGCATTATATGGCCATGTTAGTCTCATCATGTCAACAGAGGGAGCGTCATATGGCCATGTTAGTCTCATCATGTCAACAAAAGAAGCATCTCATATATTCATGCTAAGTCATCACCTAACTTGAGATAAACAACACTACCGTGTCAGTAAAATACTTAATAATAAATGATGCTACTGGAAGTCTATGAACAGCTAGCAGTTAATGGTCAGGTGCTACAATGTATCATATCATGACATTCAAAACTGAGCTGCATATAACACACAAGTTATGAGGAAACAGATATTCCTTTCACAAATCACGTGACTTGAGAGACGTCATTCATAAACCAGTTTTTCAGCTAAAATTTCGTAACCATATCAACAACAAAATCGCTGTCATAGAAAGTTGAACATTAGTATCCTTTTGTTTTGAAAAGTACTGTAACCTAGCTTCTGATTCTGCCTAATAACAAACTATATTTAAACCAATACACATTTCTATCCCAGATCATAAATAAAGACTAACGCTCTCAGGACGAGATGGTTGCGCCATTCTTTAGTGATGATGTGGTGCCACTCCTTGATACCCTTTGAGAGACGCATTGTCACTACCATGCTACCGGGCAGCTGGCCAGGGTGGTTGGGTAGTAAATTCAACCAAGACTCTGCAGTACTTTTAAACATTGCGCCATGCAACCAAAAATTAAACCTGTAACTTTTGTGCTTATATGCTACCAGGCACCTGCCTAGGATGGTTGGGCAAATTCAATCAAGACTAAGTCAGGGCGCCATGCAACCACAAATTAAACCAGAACTATGGGCCTGTACTAGGCTGCCTCAGTAGAAGGTTTGTTTGGTTCGAGGAGAGTTATCGTTTTGCCAGTTTTTCAGATTGATGGTGTAATGCAACAGACATATGAAAAGTTTGCCATGTTTGTGAGTGTGGTGATGCCATGTGGGGCTAGGTACTTGAGATGAAAATTAGAGATGTTGTCTGGCCCTATTGCAGATGAGTTTTTGAGATGTTATATTACGCATGTAGTATCACATGTTGTGGCAAGGACCAGGTGTTGTCAAGTGGAAATTTGTGCTTGCGTCTGTGGATTTGTCTGTCTGCTCTGTGCTTGGGCAGATGACTGATGCTTGCATACTGGTTTATTAATATATTGGTCTGTTGTTGGCATGAAGGGATGGTGTCCGAGGTGGTAATTTATGAGTGAGATGGGGTGAGGCCACTGTCAGAGTTGGGAGACTGCAGGTTGTTCTATATAGTTTTGATGAGTACTCTGAGTACTCAAAAACTCCTCCCAGCGTTGCTTCTGTTTATTAATTATTATTAATATAGGAAGCAATTAATATAAACATGCTTTCTGATGAGCAGGGGTTGTACTACCAAAAATTGCTTAATTACATGTAGCGGTTCAAGTATACATAGTGGATTAAGTATACAAATAGACCTAAGTAAACGTAGCGGCCAAGTACACGTAATGCCCTTAGTAGTACACGTAGCATCCAAAGTACACATGCATACAGCCCAAGTGCATACAGCGGTCAATTTTTTGACTGTGATTGGTAGGTTTAGCTTGAAACGCCATCAGTGATTGGCTGATAGAGTTAGGAGCTCGTAAAGTTTTTGATAATACGGCCCCTGTTTGCCCTCGCACGCCGGCCTCACCTCCTGCTCCTGGACGGACGACGACGGCCGTCTCCTCTCCCGCGAGCCGTTCCTCGAACGGTCCCTGCCATTATTACCATCACTGTCTCTTGCTTCGTCTCTTCTGTCACTGCTCCTCGAACGGTCCCTGTCATTATTACCATCACGGTTTCTTGCTGCGTCTCTTCTGTCGCCGCGACTTCGGTCCATCCGACCGCCCCGGTGTCTGTCAACGTTGCTGTCTCCTTGCCGGTCTGCCCTGCTCAAGAAATCCCTTTATGGACTCAACCAAACTTGGGTAATCGTGTGGGTCGCAATAAAAAATCATTATTAATTACTTGATGTTTACAAACCTGGATCATATCATTTTCATTTCATCAGAAAATATTTTCTTAATATAATTTTACCACTCTGGATTATATTATGAATGAGTTTTTGATCAACAATTGCCTTTCATGATGAAGAGAATAAATGTGCGACATAAGACCGCCTCATGGAGGGAGCACTGGCAGGTTTTCAGACAATGTGCACTTTCATATATATTTTTTCTTATTTACGAATTTGTTCAAATCTTAGAGTAATTCATATCAAAGAATTTGTTGTACCTATCTTCAGGGTAGTGGTCGTTGTCTTGCCTGTTCTGTTGTTGCACTGCGCTTGACTGCATTGCCTGCAACAACAATTTTTATGTGGACAACATAATCTGGAGACACTTGTCTAAACATAACATGTTATCTGGTGAACATAACCCATGAACATAAATGTCAAACAAGAATATTTAATATGGATAACATAAACTGGAGACACTTGTCTAAACATAACATGTTATCTGGTGAACATGACCAATGAACATAAATGTCAAACAAGAATATTTAATACGGACAACATTATCTGGAGACTCTTGTCTAAACATAATAGGCTATCTGGTGAACATAACCCATGAACATAAATGTCATAATAATTTGAAGTGGTAATTGTGCACCCATCACGTGGACACATACATGGATCAAGAATGGCTCAGGGATAAGATATTTTGCTTTCAAATGAAAAGTCAGAAACTTAAATGACCTACAGTGTATGTAGCCAAAATAAAAATATTGATGAATCTGTTTCTTCTTACCTGGTCAAAATGATAATGGTCTGGTAAATCCTGTTGTACTAGCTCCAGTTGTTGTATACTATGCTGCAATATTTGTTGTAGCTGCTGCATCAGTTGTTGTGTCTGCTGATGCTCTTGTTGTAACACTTGCCGTATTTGTTGTAGCTGCTGCTTCTCTTTTTGTTGCTGCTGCTTCTCTTTTTGTTGCTGCTTAATCTTTTGTAACAACTGCAGCATGTCTTGTTGCAGTATTTGTTTTAGCTGCTGCAGCATGTATTGTTGCAGTTTTTGTTCTAGCTGCTGCAACTCTTCTTGATGCCGCTGCTGCATGCCTTGTAAGAGCTGCTGCTCTTGTTGTAACACTTGCCGTATTTGTTGTAGCTGCTGCTTCTCTTTTTGTTGCTGCTTAATCTTTTCTAACAACTGCAGCATGCTTTGTTGCAGTTTTTGTTCTAGCTGCTGCAGCATGTTTTGTTGCAGTTTTTGTACTAGCTGCTGCAACTCTTCTTGATGCCGCTGCTGCATGCCTTGTAAGAGCTGCTGCTCTTGTTCTTGCAGTTCTTGAAGTATCTGCTGTATCTCTTGTTGTCTCTGCTGAAGCCTTAGTATCTGCTGCCAAGAATCTGCCAAGACAAAGAAAATTTACAATTTACTCACTATTGGGCAATTTTTAAACAAATAACATGATTTTTACTTGAATGTTTGTTTGAATTTTATCACTATTTATGCTCATGACAACACATTCAAAGCAGAAGTATATTATGACAAGATAGAGAAGTTGAATTGCAATGGAGTTTAGGTAGCACGGGACTTACACATTATGGAGCCAAGCCAGGCAAGTCAAAAGCAGGATCAAATGAAGGTTCTGTAAGAATTTTAGTCCTCTCACATGACTAAACGTACATTAATTATAATTATGAGTCTGGAAAGAGAAGAGAACAAGTGAGTAAATATAATGTAAGCTGCAGTCACACAAATTATAATTAAAAGTCAGGCAACACCAGTAGAGCATAATAAAGCTATTAAAGCATAGCAGAAAACAAGAGACTGTTTAGTTGCCCTCCCTGCTTGAGTCCTATGAGTAGATTAGTTAAGTAACATGGATACCTGCATCATTAATAGATATTCAATATAATTTTAAAGTAAATTGGGGAATTGAAATAACTTGTTTCTAAAAATCCCTTGTTCGCCTGTGGCCACTACTTGTGGATGTTGGAATATTCAGGATAATTTGCCAAAAAATTACAGCCTGTGATATTTGGAAAATTACCTGCAATTTGCTGGTTAAAATGTTCATTTCACTTCTCATGAACTAGAAGTGAAAAGTAAAAAAATCACAAGATTAAAATGTCATTTATTCTGCATCTACAAAGGAAGAGGACTTCAGAGTACTGTTGGTAATGGATGAGTACACTCTGCTTGCTTCAAACGTTTTAAAATTTAGTTTTATTTCAAGTGTCCCTTATTACCCTGTTCCCAGTAGACTCGAGTTTGGAACTTTTTTCCAATCAAGACAAAACAAGACAAGAAGTTAGTCCCAGTTTGCAGTAATAACCGAGATAATTTTCAGCACTCAGTGGGAATTCCAGGACAATGCCATGATAAGATCAGACATCCTGGTTTAAATAGGAGGTTCAAAATTTCCCGGAATTGATAGCTTTTATAATGGGACATAATGAGACATAGCAAGACAAACCACTTAATGATGGGATGTAAATTATGTTTTTGGTATACAGACATGTACAATAACTTGAGACATATTCATTGACAATTTCAATCAGGCTTGGCAATTAAGATTTTTTTGCTACATATCATAATTCAACATGACACTTATTCTAGACTTGCAAATAAAAATTATAATGAAAATTTGCATATTTTTTATTTTTCCATTTGCAATGTTATACTTTAATGCATATTAAATATATTTTTTCATGATGAAAAGTAAAGAAAAATCTTCAATGATAAAGTCTTGTAAAGTCTATAATTTAGTTAAGTTTCTGCTAGTTAAGGTCCATCAGTTGGAGCACTAGATGGTACAGCAACATGGTCTCGAGTGACAGCCCTTGGACTTATTTCCATTTGGACTTGTGGTGAGTGGTGTATGTATCTTGTGGTGAGTGGTGTAACACCTGCACCTGCTAAATGACATTTTGTAGTTTTAGAGGTTCTGGAGGAGGCTGTACTTGCTGATGACATTGGTAGACTTGATAGACTAATATTGCCTTTGACCCTTGGCATCTTAACACATTGACTACGTATTGGTACATATGCATACCACGAAATGCATTTCTCCAGGAGGTAGTGGTACATAATTCAGGTTGCCTAAAATTGGCCAAATCCAAAAACAAAAAAAGGCCAAAAAGGCCAATAATTCAATGTATACTAGTTTATTTGTAGGTTCCACTATAAAAATTCCATTTATTTTCTTTTTGCAATATTTAAAATTTAATTAGGAAGTACCCCTATCAAAAATTTTAGCCGGCCAATGCAATTGAGAAAAACTAAATCACGGAATTTGTCCAGAAAAAAATGACCATTTGGCAACCCTGATTAAAAAAAGACAAAAAATGAAATAATAGTGCAAGATGAAGCAATCGTAGTCAACGTGTTAAACGACTACAGAAAAGAGACCCATTCCACTGTCATCTAATTGTCCTGCTTAGTTAGTGACAATGTGTCATTAACTAGCGATGCATGCCTGAACTTGTATGGAATGCATACTAAACTTGTACATATCATATGTTTTGAAAAAATAAATCATAGTTTAGGTCAATTACTTTTCATTCTATGATGCCCGGTGCACAATTCTATATATAGCATTCTATGTACAATTTTGTGATGACCGATGATGCACTAATTTTTCCATAAGTGGATTTTTTTTGCCAAGCAAGGTAAATGTAATCAAAGTTCTTTGTTGTTAATCAATTTTTTTGTTAACTGGAGCCTTTGCTAACTGAGGTTCAACTGTAAATGCATTTTTAAGGGTGTCCCTAATTACCCCGGGGGGGTGTTCCTTTTTACCCCATCGTGCAGAAATGGCTGCCATTTTTTTAATGAGATAGGCAATATTCATCAATTACATTTTCAAGCCAACACCTGGGTGTAACTTTTATGTAAGAAACATTTTTCAATAAGGCAAATATTTTTTTTGCTCCAGACCTTAGCAGAGGAACTTTTCCAAAATCGCACTTTTCACACTTTTTTGAGCAATTTTTTAGAGGTAGTAAACGGTTGATTTCTTGACTAGCTTTATACATAATAGATAATAACAATGTTGCAGTTTACAACACTAGTTTTAGTTTTGCAATATTTTGATTCGTTTAGCTGCTACAACATTTCTATGAAATGTGGGACACGCGTCCCTATTTACCCCGTCCGTTTCTTTTTACCCCGTTTGATGGTAGTGGTACATAATTCAGGTTACCTAAAATTGGCTAAATCCAAAAACAAAAAAGGCCAAAACAGGCCGATAATTCAATATATACTAGTTTATTTAACGCTATAAAAATTCCATTTATTTTCTTTTTGCAGCATTGAAAATTTATTTAGGAAGTACCCTTATCATAAATTTTAGCTGGCCAACACAATTGAGAAAAACTAAATCACGGAATTTGTCCAGAAAAAATGACCATCTGGCAACCCTGCTTAAAAAAAGTACAAAAAATGAAATAATAGTACAAGATGAAGCAATCGTAGTCAACGTGTTAAATGACTAAAGAAAAGAGAACCATTCCACTGTCATCTAATTGTCCTTATTAGTTAGTGACAATGTGTCACTAACTAGCAATGCATGCCTGAACTTGTATGGAATGCATACTAAACTTGTACAGTTCTCACATAAGGCATGATTGAAGGCAAGACAGCAAAATTATTCACTCAATATTCAGCCACACATTGCCTAATCTGCCCACTAATTCAACTGCCAAATTAGTTTGGCAGTGAAACACATCTGCAAATGACCGGCTACTGCTCATTACCAATCAAGAGCTAACATATTATTCCTTAATCCACTTGCTCAAAACGTCTCGTTTTGTCTCGAATATTTAAGATACTCTCCTCTTGTTATGTTAATTATTGTTTCACTTTGACCTGGTTCAAATAGTTTCATGCCGGGACACAAGTTTTAAAGTACAGGACACAAGTCTTGTCCCAGTTCATACATATATTCCGGGACCAATTTTACCTTCTGTCCCTGTAATTTCTCATCTTGTCCTGTTTGTCCCGGTTTGTTTCAGGAAACTTATTCCAAGACTCAGGAGTCTAGTTCCCAGGGGTAATTTGGGACACTTTTATTTTGCCTCTGGCTTCTTATGAATAGCATATGGAATTTTTTCAGAGATGCCATACAATCGCCCTCACAAAAAGCTTTAAAATGAGTTCAATTTTGTTTATGAAATGTTGCATGGCAAGAAGTTATTACCAAAAAACACTCAAAACCGTCCCATATTACCCTGTTTGACAGTATTCTAAACAAGAGGGGCAATTGAAAAGCAGCTCAAACTCATCTGCATGAGGAGTTGTTTCGAAATGTATATATTATGCATTGGCTCCATTGTCATCCATGAGCCACTGATGATGATGTAATTTAATTGATTTTGGAATTAATGTATACTCATTTTTAGGGTAATGATCTGGAAAAGTGTGATAGTCCAATAATTCATATTATGTATGACCATATAAAGGTTTTGCAATACCATATTTATTCTAAAATTACTATATCTATTGTTGTTTTAATTGCCCATCCTGGTAGTGGTGACTAGGTAGGGGGGTGATAGGTCAGTTTTTCCAGGCAATTGGTGCTACTGGTAGTTCTACTACCATCACTGGCTTGCTGACCCGCCAGAACCATTTTATTGCATTACACAACACCCTGGACAAGGGTGTTGTGTAGTGGACTCAGTGTGAGTCCACTGAGACCAAAGTAATCAGATGACCATTGACCAAATCAGATTACATTGACCACCAAAGTAATCAGAGTTGGATGAATGGCTGAGTTGACCATGAGCTGAGCTTCCCGGAAGAACTTGTCCTCAGTGGGACTCAAACCCGGGAGCTGGGTGCGAGAGACTGAGTCTCTCACCACTGCACCACCACAGCTCTACTATATCTATTCACTATTCTATATCTATTCACTATTCCACTAAGCTGTGATGATCTTTTCTAAGACATTTTAGTTCATGCAACTTTTTCTAAAAAATGAAGGAAAACATTAAATTAATAGAAAACAGCAAAAAAGGGGGTAGGTACTGTAAAAATTTATTTCCTCCCAGGATTTTCAAGCTACAACATTGAGAGACATATCATTTGATGACCATATGTAAAGATATCTAAAGATTATACACTATTCTTTTGAGTTTTTTTCAATTGCCTTATTTTTTTTATTTTTCTGATTTTTTTTCAATTTTGACCCTTTTTCTCAATACATAATTGAAACAAAAAAGAAATTTAAAAATATGACCAGATGATCTCTAGAGATTTTTTTTTAATTGAATGGTATACTTCGAAATGCTGTCGCTTGAAAATCATAGGACATAAATTTTTAAGATGGCATGTTTTGGAAATTTTAATCGTTCAGGGGAGCCTAAATAAAATTTATTGAAAAAAGTAGAACATGCCAAAAAATTGCTTCATATCGTAGCCAAAGCTTTCCCAGTGCCAATTAGCTGCATCTAGGGTACCAGCAACTTTGGTATTAATCAGCTTTGTAATATTACCATGATACCAGCAAAATGGTATCAGCTTTGTTGAACACGTCTTTTTTCTAGCTTTCAGACGAGTGCAAACACTTTGCAATTGACAAGAATAATGACCTATAAATACAGATTCAATTTAAAGAATTACTTTTACATTGAGAAAGTTTATTTAATATATTTATTAAATTGCTTTACGCAAAAACTAGAGCATACACATACATGCCGTTTGT